GAGTAATTTATATATATATTTTCTTTTAATAATGTTATTGAAAAGTCATTGTACAAATTGTGCTAATTTAATGTGTTCTTAGTGCAGATTATGTTACTGAATAAGCCCCAAACACTAGTTTTTGACAAATTTAAACAAACAACCTATGCTATGGATCCCCTCGGCAGAGCTGACTGGGCACATCCCTAGGTGGCAGATAGGGGAACGACCATCAGATATGAAGGCCAGCTGCGAAACAAGCAGAATAACTCTGACCAATAAGTAGTCCCGGACCAACACCAGCATTGTTAGAAGAGGAGAAAGATCTCTTTAAAAATCCTGAGTTCAACTGACCCAGTTGATAGACCTCAGCAAGGGTCCCACTCCAGGTACGGAGGAGCTGTGTCTGTACTCTTGATATAATCGGAAGCAAAGGCATCTGCTTCCATGTTAGGAACGGCCTCAAATTACAGGCAAAGTCAGACTTTCACCAAAGTGTGCCTGTATTATGGTGCTATTATCAATGAAAGCTGCACCCCATTTCATAGCTCGAGGAGCATGGACTCATGGAATTCATGTAATCTTTACACAAGGGGATAACATGCTATGGCTCTCTTCAGTACAAGGGCAGTTTCAATATCAACATCCTATAGGAGGAGTTAGGAAATTGTGTTGAAAGTGAAGTTTTAGCTAGTAAGGCCAGTAGTCTTAACCAGTAATACACAAAGTTGTGGTATTCATGTATAAAGAAAGGTACCTCTACTTTTTGAGATGTGATCAACGAAATCTACACCCCATTCGATCAGTAGCATGAACTCATGGAATCTTTACACAAGGGGATAAGAAACAACAACAACATTACACAAATTCTATGAGTCTATGCTCCTTGAGCTGTTTGATGATAAGCATATATAAGCAAAATTCTTTTTGATCTTCTCTAAGCAGAATGCTTGGATCTGTGAAAAACTATAATTTATAATTAATGGTGAGTGAAAAACAGAGAAGTTCTTTTATTCCAATTTGCCAAAGCTAATGTGGTTTATTCACTCATTTCTTTGAGAGAGGCCAATGCTTATCATCAAACAGCTCGAGGAGCATAGACTCATAGAATTTGTGTAATCTTGTTGTTTCTTATCCCCTTTTGTAAAGATTACACGAATTCCATGAGTTCATGCTACTCATTGAATGGGGTGTAGCTTTCGTTGATCATATGATCCAGGCACACTTTGGTGAAAACTTTGCACAAGGGGATAAGAAACAAAACATTCACTGATCTGAAATTTGAGTGATCTCCTAGGGGATTCTAAAGATGCTACAGTAATTCATTACTGAAGGGTTACACATATATCTTATAAGCTAAACCTATGAAATCTGTTGAGATATAAACAATGTGGAGATGAATTCTCAGACAACAAATAGGGGGGGGAAGCTTCATCTTATTTTTTTTTATTTTCAAATGTATTTTTAAACATTAACAATTATAGAGGTGGGTCAAATAATACAAAAAAATGGGACTTTTAAACAAACAAAAAGAGGGAATGGAATTATAAAAAAATAAAATAAATATTCTCAGTGCATCTAAAACTACAATTGTATTTACATGAGGCCGGACCATCGATGGAGGTAGTTACCCCAGCCGGATGCTGAGCTCTTGTCTTCAACACCTGCAACAGCACAGTGAATTCAAATCTCTCCTTCCTTACATACATTGCACTGTAGCCAATCTCCCTGTAGAGGACAACACCTAGTTGCAGAGCCAAAGTGTCTTTTAGTGAGTAGGAGGTGTCCTCTTACCATAGAGTTGCTAAATAGTAAAAATGGTAATTTTGCAAGTGAAAACTGTTCTTTATAGAGAGGCGTCCTTTTAATGTGAGTGTCCTCTCATGGAGGTTCTACGGTACTGGCACTTTAGAAATACAAAACTAAACTGCTTGAGCCTTTGTAGACCAAAGTTATCAACTATAAAGGGCTAAAATTTATATATATATATATATACAGTAGAACTACCGCTCTGTAGAGGACAACATCAATAGTCGCAGAGACAAATTGTCCTTTACAGGGCGATTTCCTCTTGATGATCAAAACTGTTTCCTTTGTAGAGAGGTGTCCTCTAGTATGAGTGTTGTTATCTCTTGGAGGTTCTACTGTACTGACACTTTAGAGAATACAAAAGCCAAACTGATTGAGCCTTATCGTGAAGATAGAGGCTGCCTGGCCGGCATTCATAGTTCTTGAAAAAAGATACTTCAGCCAGTATAAATAAAAAAAAGAACTACCTCTTTGTAAAGGACAACATCTAGTTGAAGAGCCAAAGTGTCCTTTACAGAGAACAACTTACCAGAGAACAACTAAATTGTAAAAAATGGTAATTTTGGTGATGAAAAAAAGATTTATACTGGCTGAAGTATCTTTTTTCAAGAAATATGATTGAGCCTTGTGTAGACATGTGGTGAACTTATAAACAATCCTCTATCCACTCAACTATAAATGTTTATATACATGTATATAGTAGAACTACCTCACATGTGGTGCGCTTACAGTAAAAAAAGCAGTTGCTAACTACCCACCATGATTATCATGGCCTGTACCACGTGAACTAGGGATAGGCAAAAAAAGAACTACCTCTTTGTAAAGGACAACATCTAGTTGAAGAGCCAAAGTGTCCTTTACAGAGAACAACTAAATTGTAAAAATGGTAATTTTGGTGATGAAAACTGTCCTTTGTAAAGAGGTGTCCTATAACGGGTGTGTCCTCTTATGGAGGTTGTTCTACTGTATTGGATTGACAAACTTAGGGATTAAGGACAAAAATATGTGGTGTTCCATAAGGAGGTTTATTTCTACCAGATGATATACCCATCAGTTGATGGGGAGAGAGAGAGATGTTATGTAAAAGGTGTTTCAACTAATTTGAGCAATAAAAAAAAAAAAGTGTGTTTCACCATCTGTCCACAGTTCTAATTATTCCAGTCTTGGCAGGTAATCAGCCCAGTAGTAGACAACAGCCTTATTACAAACTCAGGTTGTAACCCTTGGGCAACTTCTCTTAAATGGTACCATTTAGATGAAAGATAACAAGACCAATTACAAAAAATGATTAAATTCCCACTTTATATTTTATTTTATTATTATTATTTTTTGCTTATCCCTAGTATACGTGGTACAGGCCATGATAATCATGGTGGGTAGTTAGCGACTGCTTTTTCTACTGTAAGCGCACCACATGTCTACACATGTGAAAAGCAGTTCGACTTTGCACTTACAAATGTGCCAGAGCCCCGTTTGGTTACTTGCACTCGCTGGTGGGGTTGGACTTTTGCAAGAATCGTGGGCCATTGGAGCATTTTTTTTTTTAAACAATTTTTTTTTTTGCTTATCCCTAGTACACGTGGTACAGACCATGATAATCATGGTGGGTAGTTAGCGACTGCTTTTTACTGTAAGTGCACCACATGTCTACACATGTGAAAGCAGTTCGACTTTGCACTTACAAATGTGCCAGAACCCCGTTTGGTTACTTGCACTCGCTGGTGGGGTTGGACTTTTGCAAGAATCGGGGGCCATTGGAGCATTTTTTTTTTTTAAACAATAAAACTGTCCAATGCGGGAATCGAACCCGGGTCGTAGTGGTCGAAACCCAAACGGTTTAACCAGCCTTCCACCGACCCCCTTTTTTATATTTTATAAAATAGTGAAATTATGGCAGTACAGTAGAACGTCCCTGTAAAGGACACCTAATTACAGAGCCAAAGTGTCCTTTAAGGAGAGATGTCCTCTTACTAGAGAGTTACTAAATAGTAATTCTGCAAATGAAAACTGTCCTTTGTAGAGAATTGTCCGCTAGTGGGGTGTCCACTAAAATTTGTGATTGTGAACCAATTTTTATGAGGTTCTCTCTATAGCAGCTATATATAGTTCACTATAGTTTTACTGTATCCACCCCTATTATGTGGAGTATATTTTAGGGTTAAAAACAAACCTCATTATTGGGACCACAACATTTTATGTCCCATGTTGACTTGAAACTTTATTTTTTTCTAATTATCCCTAGTACATGTGGTACAGGCCATGATAATCAAGGTGGGTAGAGGTAGGCGACTGCTTTTATTGTAAGTATACCACATGTCTACATATGTGAAAAGCAGTCTGACTTTTGCACTTACAAATATGCCAGAGTCTCGTTTGGTTTCTTGCACTCCCTGGTGGGGTTGGAATTTTTCAAGAATCGGGAGCCATTGGAGCATTATTTTTTTTTCTAATTAGAAAAAAGTGCCAAATGCAGGATTTGATCCTGGGTCATAAAAGTCAAAAACCAATGGTTTAAACCATCCTTCCATCGAACCCCTTGAAATTAGTTGCTGCTATATAAACAAGGCTCCATTGTATTTGGATAGGTAAGTTACCACATGTGTTCAATCTACAATGGAATGTCAACTTTCCCAAGGGACGTGTCACAACATGTTGGTGTTGCAAAAGTCCCACAGGTGTGTCACCAAAATACTCTCTCAGGCACAGCAAACTTAGATGCACAAAACTTTCCTTCATTTCTACAAAGGGTTCTAGAATATAGAAAAGTCATGTTTATTATTATCCTTAGTACATGCGGTACAGGCAATGATAAATGATTATTGTAATAAGTGCAAAAGTTGAACTGCTTTTCACATGTGTAGATATGTGGTGTACTTACAGTAAAAGTAGATGCCAACTTCTATCCACCATGATTATGAAATTGGCAACTGCTTTTACTGTAAGTGCCCCCACATGTCTACATGGTCCAATGGCTTTCGATTCTTGAAAAAATCCAACCCCACCAGCGAGTGCAAGTAACAAAACGGGACTCTAGCATATTGGTAAGTGCAAAAGTCAGACATCTTTTCATACATGTAGACATGTGGGGGCATTTACAGTAAAAGAAGTCGCCAACTTCATAATCATGGTAGGTAGAAGTTGGCACTGGTTTTACTGTAAGTGCATCACATATCTACACATGTGAAAAGCAGTTCGACTTTTGCACTTATCACATTAGGGTAGCCTAGTGGACATGGCACCTGCCCGGTAAGCAGAAGGTTGTGGGTTCGATTCCCGCCCCTGGACACTTTTACTTATCACATTAACACATATTTTTATTGAAATTGTACTGGGATCAGGTGGATAAATTAAGAAAAAGGCATCTCCTGATTGTGGAACTAAGAGTTTCTGATGATTTGCACTATCTGTCGGAATAAATGTAAACTAATCACTGATTTTTAATTATTCCAGAATTGGCCAAAAATACTCTTTCTTGATTATATTTACGCACGTATTTCTGGCTTTTTTCATTCAGCATGGTTCAAGCTATACCTCAATGACCAAAAAAACTTAAGTCTTTGGGGACATTCTAAAAATCCTGAAACAGGTATTTAGGCTGTAATAACCTGTTAAAAAACCTTGAGTTATTTATTAATCAAGAATGGGTATTAAGCCAATTCTGGAATAACAACAACAAAAAGGCTTTTATTAGGGCCCATTGCCCTGTATGGATTCGCCATACAACAACAAAATAATACAGTAATTTTTTTCCCTTTCCCCATGTCCACGTGAGCCCCTTTCTGGAATAAATAAAAATCATCAATTAGTTGAGATTTATTCTGAAAGATGACGCAAGCCATCAACAACTTTTATTTGCACAGATGTCTTTACATAGTTTTAGATTTAATTATTCTTGAACCAATCCCATCGCATGTGTGAGTGTGAGTTAATGAACCCTAGTACTGTAGAAAACCTCCGGCAGGAGTCTGCCAGAAACCTTTGAAGGAGAAATACATTAGGACAATAAAAGAAAATAAGACCTAATCCAAATAATTTATTAGTGTGTGAAGTTTCGGCAACAACATTGTCACCATCATCAGAGAAAAGAATAAATAAGAAAAAATATCACAGCAAGTTCTTAAATAGTACTGTTATCAAGTGTTTAAACAAGATAACAGATAAGGAAAAATAGTTTTTAAGACAACTTGAAATATTCTTCTTAGAATTGAAAGTGGATTTTTTTTTTAGTTATCTTGTTTAAACACTTGATAACAGTACTCATTTATTCTTTTTTCTGATGATGGTGACAATTTTGTTGCCGAAACGTCACACAGTAATAAATTATTTGGATTAGGTCTTATTTTCTTGTATTATAATCAATAATCCAAATTGTGCCTTACATTAGGACAAGTTTCTTATAATTTATACAAGAAGTTTCCTGTCAGTTTTGTCATGTCTAACTGGAATTTTCTCTCTATAACAAGATACAATTTAGTTTGACAAAATGGAAGTATGAATTTATTTTCTTTATTTTTTTTGTCCCTAAAAATTACTATGTTGCCAGGGGGTCGGTGGAAGGCTGGTTAAACCATTTGGTTTTAAACCACTACGACCCGAGTTCGATTCCCGCATTGGCACTTTTTTCTGTTAAAAAAAAAAAAAAAAATGCTCCAATGGCCCCCGATTCTTACAAAAGTCAAACCCCAACAGCGAGTACAAGTAACCAAACGGGGCTCTGGCACATTTGTAAGTGCAAAGTCGAACTGCTTTTCACATGTGTAGACATGTGGTGTGCTTACAGTAAAGGCAGTCGCTAACTACCCACCAGAGATAAGAAAGAAGACAATGTTGCCAAAAGTGTACATTCATGGACAAAATTTAAGGAAGTTGTACCATTTAGCATGTATTATTGACTGTATTGGTTCATCTATTGATGAGTTTTATTCATCCCCAGCAGACACCATAAAAAATTATAAGCTCTACAAAGCTTCTCCTCTCCTTCTTTCTTATCTTCACTCAATCACATCAGGGTATCAAGCTTGTAAAGCTTGAGACTGGGTGAAGTAGAATGCCTTTGTCATTAAGACTGGGAGCACTACTCAGTGGCAGGTCGACTTAGTTCCAAAAGAAATGGCCGCCTCTGACATGAGGAACAGACGCCATGTGCAGCCACTCCTAACATGGAGTACAAACACTGCTCATCCTGTATCCCTGGATTAGGAGCCCTTACAGGGTACTATCAGCCAGGCCAGCTGAGCTAAGGTTTTTTAGTGAGCTTGTTACTGCTCCCCCTCCTCCTTTTTCATCCGGGCTTGGGACCAGCAAAGGCGGAGTTTCTACAAAGCTTGATACTCTGATATGATTGAGTGGAGATAAGAAAGAAGAAGACAAGGAGTGAGAGGTCTGTTACTTACCTGGTACTGAGGCTTGGGATGCCAGCTGACTCTGTTCATCCGGACTCAAACGGAGCAGTGTGGTTAAAACTGGGATCATATGGGAGCGATCCCCCTCCATTGTCAGGAACTGAGACACACACAATCCTGGTGTTTACTCCAATTTCTATTGTCATGGTTTTTTTTGCTTATCCCTAGTACACATGGTACAGGCCATGATAATCATGGTGGGTAGTTAGCGACTGCTTTTATTGTAAGTGCACCACATGTCTACACATGTGAAAAGCAGTTCGACTTTGCACTTACAAATGTGCCAGAGCCCCATTTGGTTACTTGCACTCGCTGGTGGGGTTGGACTTTTGCAAGAATCGGGGGCCATTGGAGCATTTTTTTTTTAATCAGGAAAAAAGTGCTCAATGTGGGAATTGAACCCGGGTCGTAGCAGTCGAAAACCAACGGTCTAGACCATCCTTCCACTGACCCCCCTATCTCTA